GATTCCTTAATATTTTATTCTAAAGTAGTTAGTCATCAGACCACTAAGTTTTTTTCATGTAAATAATTGTGAACAATAAAAGAAATGAGCATTATTTTCTTTATTATTCCCTTACGTGTGCCATCTATTTCTTTTACATTGTAACTTTGTGTTCAACACCTTCATGAAATCACATTCGTAATCATACGTAGGTAAGATAATATACATTTGTACAAGTTACCGTTTTTTCCGGCAGATGGCGTGATTATATATATAACCATTGAGGGCACACGATTTTTTCTGCCACCAGGGCGGCACTTAAGAAATAGGTGTAATATTTGACAGATTTCATAGCGGGGAAGTTAAATTATATATTAGAAAAATATAAAAATTAATGTTTCTTCCTGTATTAATAGTTATATTTTATTCCTTTTTACTTTATTATATTATTTTTACTTTATTAGACTTTTTTAATCCAAAACACAAATTACTTAATATTCATAAACGTCATCATTATCATCATGATGACGTTTATGAAAAATTTAAAAAGAAAAGAGTTAAAAATGTGCAAAAATGTAAAGAGCAAACAACTTAGGTATAGTTTTGTGTATTAATATAATACTCTAAAAACTGATAAACTCATTTAAAACTATTGTATAACAAAAAACTTAAACACAGTGTCAACTAGTGACATCTGGTGAGCGGAAGGTTATTGCCCTCTATGTGGATGAGTACCATGGATTTAGAATATACTGGCGTGTTCTAAGTCTATGATGAGTACATTTCGGCTATACTATACTCTTTGGTACATTTATCTATATGTATTTATAAAGAATGTATTTATAATATAAATATCTTTTATACATCTTAAAAAAAAATTTATAAGATGTATAAAAGATATTTATATTATATCTTTTATACATCTTTGGTGTATTCTAAGTAGTGAGCAGGGGGAGGAAAGTTGGCAGTAGAATTTTGAAGTCTAAACTGTATGGAAACAGGATCTCTCTATAGACTTGGTGGGATTCTATCACGACACAAAATAATATTATACCGTCTAACTAGATGGGAGTAGTAAATAGGAAGCATTTCGTTTCAAGTTTCAACAGAAAGCGTTCCCGTATAGGAAGATTTGATAGATAGTGACTAGTGGTGACTCTAATATTATATAATAATAAAGTGACTTAAATGTCCTATATAGTATGTTATCTATGGACTTATGTGATTTTGAATGTAAAGTCGCTAAATAAATTAAAATTTACGTAGCCTACATATAAATTAATTATACATAGTATATCGATTATATTTTAACATAGAAAGTGAGTAGTGAGTGTTATAAACCATAGATAAAATACTACATATGGCACTATAAACGTTGGCAAATATGTCCAAGGAGCGAATAAATCTCTCTCTTTTTCTTTTAATTGTTTATAGCAATTCCATTATTACATCATTTTTACGAGGAAGAAAATGACTTTGACCTTTGTGTATAATAAAGACCGTACTCTGTGGACTTTGCCTTTGATTTCGTGTAGGTATATAAAGTTTTGGCGGGAACTTGATCGCCGGCGGTGTGTTGTCGTTTAAATAATGGTTTCAAGTGGATTTTGATACGTAAAAGTGGTACGATTTTTGTGTATTAAGTATCTGTGCATGTGAACTATTAGTGGTAACGGTGAAACAAGTGCTCTGATGGTGATGTGATTCTCAAGATCGGCAAGTATCAGCTGTCTGCTCGCTTAAGTCGCCGTCAAAATCTCCCAAGGGCAGCACAATGTGACGTATCAACATATTGTGAAGCAGTGTACTTTGAAGGATAATAATGGAGAACACAAAAGGGTCAAAATATTACTATTAAATACTATTAAAATCGTAGCAAAGATCATGTACATTACATTAGTTTTTATTTCACTTCAATACATGCAGTATTTCTGAAGTTATAACGACGTGAAATTTAAGCTCTTTTTTGAATTTCAGAGATTACGCGCGCTCACACTAAGACGTCACACCCCCGCAGACCGCGACCGCGACACAAACACGGCGTTCGGTCCGGTGCGGTTTCACCAAATTACGCGGGTCTCGTTTCGTTTTCTTTCCATCGTCTTTGTATTCCTATTACTTCTAGTATTTGTGCTTCTATTTCAAAGCAATAATATTATCCTCTAAATCCGATTACACTAAAGTGAAACGTGTAGTGCTAGAATGGAAGAACGTTTTGTAAAAGGACAGTCGGACAATCTGCCAAGAGTGTATAGTTTGATGGTGGCACAATATTTCATGAGGAATCAGGATTTTACGGCTGCTGAAATTCGTGGAATAAAGATGAAAAGGTACGTACCTATGTTCTAAGTAAGCATTAGGTACCTACTCTCCTCGGTAATTTTGTGTGTTTCATTTAATACTTACCTAATATGGGTGGCGATAAAAAGTACTAGGTGCCTACACGTAATCCACATCTCAAGGTTGTCGATGATTATTTTATATGTTTTATAAGTTTAAACTTACAGAAAATGTCAATATCTACCCACATACCATATTATGACAGATGTGGGTAAGTCCTACTACCTAGGTATTTACGTAGTTATCAGTTTTCTAACTAGGCAAATAGGTACCTATTGTTCTATTGTTATACTAAAACAGATACCTATTTTTGATTAATTTTATCCAATGCTCGCTTTAGTTTATTCACTTACAGATTTTTTTTAAATTAAAACATTTAAAAAATCAGTGCTGATTAACTTGTGGGTCGTAACCATTTTTATTTTTAAAACCGTGATTAATGTATGTACGTTGTTATCGTTAAAAAAATACAACGAAAACTAGGGATAAATGCGGGCCACGAGTTTCATACTTCTGACATCAGTTTGGTTTTGTAGTAGGAAAAAATATATATAATACAGTCGGTTTAGGAGTACTGCACTGCGCTGCTACTAGGTGCTAGGTAGTTGACAATTTTGGCAAGATACCTATCTATCTAAACAATCAAAGTAGACAAATAGATATGTTTCGTAGGACAAGGATAGGTTACTTTCAAAAATACTTACATCGAAATGATCTTCATAGCAGTGCAAGAGTCGATGCAATAGGCCCTAAAACTAAAGTTTTAGGGCCTATTGCTACATACATAAAATATATACATAAACACTCACGCCTGTCACTGTCACTGTCACCCTGTAAAAGGGGTAGGCAGAGACTACGGACTTCCATTTGGCGCGATCCTGACACACCTCTCTCGCCTCTTTACATCTATATATCTACGCATACACGCTCGTCGGTTAAGGGTACTCCTAATCTGGCCCATTTTTAATGTATCGCCGATTTGGTCGATAAACCTTCGTCTAGGGCGTCCCTTCCCGACCCTGCCGTTCACTTCTGCAACATAAATTTGCTCTGTCACTCTTTCCTCGTTCATTCTTTCTACATGACCAAACCACCGAAGCATTCCTTTCTTAATCCTTGTCACAACGTCATCTTGCAAACCACACTTTTCTCTTATCACACTATTTCTCACCCTGTCATTCAGATTCAGCCCTAGCATACTCCTTAAGGAACGCATTTCTACAGCATTTATTCTACTCTCATGCTTCTTCTGCCAGACCCAACTTTCACTACCATACATTAAAGTAGCACAAGCACTAATACAGCATTATGAATTGCCATACGTGCCTTAGTTGACACATTCTGACTCCTCATAATAACTTGTAGAGCCCCATTCACTCTATTTCCTGCGTTCACTCGTCGTTCTATATCCTTATCATATCTACCATCCCTGCTAAATAAACATCCCAAATATACAAACTCATCCACTTGCTCAATCAACTCCCCTTCTATTCTTATTTCACATAAACTTTTACTTTCTTCTCTTTCAAAAACCATCACTTTCATCTTACTTGCGTTCACTTTCCCTTTCTTTCAATGACCAATTCATTAAAGTAACCATCATTTGCAACTCAGCCGCCGACGATGCAAATATGACTTGATCGTCGGCGTACAAAAGGCATTTGACGGTTGACTCACCCATTCTCAACCCACATTCTTCAACTTTCAAAGTTTGCAAACAATTGTCCATAAATAGGTTAAACAGTCACGGGGAAGCCACACATCCTTATCTGACACCTTTATGAATGCCAAACCAGTCCGAGTAGACCCCGTTGATCCTGACACAATCACTAGAGTCCCTATAAAGAGACCTTTATGCCTGTATCTCAACCCAAATGAGTTTAGTGTTTGCTATAACACATTCCTCTCCACTCTGTCATAAGCCTTTTCCAAGTCCATGAACACACACGACTCTTTTTATGGCTGTCATTCACTTTTTTTTTCATTTTTGGGTCCACAGGCACATAAAAAAAAGAGTTTATCAGGTATTTTAACAGTTGGATTGAAGCACTGAGGACACAATACAGTATTTTTTTTCCATTTTTACCACAGACAACTTTAAAATTCTCATTTTTACTGCGCAGCGGCGTGCAGACGAGAGCGCCATTGTTGCATGAGCGGGGGTGTGACGTCATCGGCTAGTTAGCGCCCGCCCGCGTTTTTAAAAATCTTCCTTCGGAAACACGCACTTTGATCGTTAATATCTCAGCCAATTTTTAAGATATGAAAAAAGTAAAAACACAATTTTTCTCGTATCATTTTGTAGATTTATTTGGCATGCAAAGTAAAAAACGTTTATCAGACCCATTATACATTTTAACTTCAGGCTCAGAAAGGCTAGAACCCAGAGCCGTAAAGCCAGTTATTAAAAAACTAAACTGTAGCTTTTGACGTTGACGTTTTAAATTTTAACCAATAACTTCTTGTTTTTGCTTTTTGGTTTTGCACTTGTTTTGATAATTGTTAATGTTTATTAGCGTGGTTAACTAATCGTATATATTATATTATATTTATTGCGTACAATTTATTAATATTTTAATTATACAAACAACGCAACCGAATAAGATACTAAAGTAACAAAATATGTTCCAGAAGTAAAGAAGTTCTGTTCTAAATCTGACTGCAATTTTGTTTCTTGAAGCATGTCGAAAACTGATATAGATGAGACAATCGTAAAATACGAAAATTTCATTAATGATGTACTGAAAGAAGATCTTCGACAATTAGATCTACGACTACAACAAATAAACGCAGAGATATCTGATTTGATTCAACAAAGGCACGCTTTAAAAGTTATCACGGACAAAAATGTCCATCCAAATGGTTTTAAGACTCAAGTAAATCTTGGCTGTAACTTTTTCATGGAAGCTTCAGTACCTGATACTTCGTCCTTGTTGATGAACATTGGCTTAAATCACTTCGTTGAATTTTCAGTAGATGAAGCAAATAAATATTTAGACGTAAGAATAAAAGCATTTGAGAGTAAATCTGAAGAACTTAGAAATAAGAGTGCAGAGACTAAAGCTCATATAAAACTAATGTTATTTGGCATTGGCGAACTACAAAATTCAAAGAAAATTAGTAGAAGCTAATAATGGCAAAACTATATATAACCTGTCGGAAATATCTGCGAACCTCGCTGGAATGCGCTTCCCCTCGCGCTTCCCCGCACCTCCGCCCGTTATCGTCTATCCAGTACCGTTGCCATCTCTCCATATTGCATGACGTCATCAAGCCAGGTTCGCAGATATTTCCGCCCGTTATCGTCTATCCAGTACCGTTGCCATCTCTCCATATTGCATGACGTCATCAAGCCAGGTTCGCAGATATTTCCGACAGGTTATATGTGTGTAAACTTAACAAATAAATGTTCATAAATAGTAAGTGCTACTTTAGCTGTGTAAACTCTGATGAATTTTATTTTCTAGAAAATTATAATATGTTTATATATTTGTGCCTATTAATAGATAATACCTACTTGAGTGACGGGCTTTGCTCTACATTTGATAAAAAATTATAATTTTTTTAGGAATGATGCTTCACCACCAAGAATTGCTAGCTTAAAGTATAGGATTGCATTGACCCTGGCTAAGTTATTAATCTTGTTTAGTAATAAGTTACTCAGGCAGGCATGTGAGCTTGTGTTATTTAATTGTTTTTGATTAAATCATAATCAGGAGGTAATAAACATATTATAAATAAAATTAATATTTATTTACTTTCATTATTACTTTGGTTGTCCTATGTCAAAACTAAATAAGTTAAATTTAAAAAACAAGGTCTTAAGTAAGACCTTGAATTAACCATTTTTTAAATTAAGGATAAAGGAATGATAAAAACACATACAATAAATTATTAAAATGACCATATATTTTAATATCTTAAATCTATCTCTAATATTATGAATAAGTAATTGAAAGTTTTCTAGAACCACCTCTAATTATGTTTTGTTGCTCTCCTGTAATACTAAGTTATTGTTCTTACTCAGTTTTGAAATACATTTTATCATTAAATTATATTATAAATATTAATGTTGATTATACCTTTCATCTAATAAGCTATTGTAACTTTTTTGCACTGTTAAGTTATGGACTCTTCTGGATAGCAGATAACTTAGAACTGCACAGTAAATATTATAGTGCCATAAGTGAATGCACACACATTGACACACATGTCACAATCTACGAGTGCCTGTGCTAAATGTAAAATGTGCTTTTGCAATAAGATAAGACAGATGACATCACAGTTAGAACTAACACTCAATCATTTATATTTAAAGAAAACAGTATTGGGCTAGCTTATAGTGTCTGAAATAAAAGTATTATTTTCATTATTGTTGCAACGACAATAATAAAAAGTTAGTCTAGTTAAGGACTGCAATAACATAATGTAATATCAGCAATTCACTACTCATGAAGTGTCTTAAACAAGTGTCTTTCTGGAGTAGTTAACAGATATTTGGTGAAGCAAATGGAAGAAGCACAGACTAAGAAATCATATATTATGATATGTCTGCAGCAAATCTAATTTGCAAGTGACATGCTAAGAAGAACACTATTAGCATCTTTTTAGAGTTCAGCTGTCATACAACAAACCATTATAATTTTAAACTTTATTTCTGTCTTAATATTTCACAGTATCACAACATCATAAATTCAAAAACCAAATTAGATAAATAAATTTCTGGAAAACAAGTGTCCTGTTAAAAAAAAACAATGCGTTTGGCTTATTGTTTAATTTTGCTTCATCATCATTATCATCATTACAGCCCTTTACAAGTCCACTGCTGAACATAGGCCTCCCCCAAAGAATGCCACAAAGCACGGTCCTGAGCCACCTGCATCCATCGACTTCCTGCATATCTTACCAGGTCGTCACTCCATCTAGTGTCGAGACGCCCTACACTTCGCCTGCCGGTACGAGGCTGCCACTCGAGAACCTTTCTTCCCCATCGGTTGTCGGTTCTTCGAGCTATATGGCCGGCCCATTGCCACTTCAGCTTACTAATCCCTTGGGCTATGTCGGTCACTCTGGTTCTACTGCGGATATCCTCATTTCTGAGTTTATCACGCAGAGAAACTCCGAGCATAGCCCTCTCCATAGCTCGCTGAGCGACCTTGAGCTTCCTCATCCGGCCAGCAGTGAAGGACCACGTCTCAGTTCCGTATGTCATCACTGGCAACACGCACTGGGTGTACAGTCTCGTTTTTAAGGTTTGAGGAATACCTGACGAGAAGATGTGCCGTAATTTCCCGAACGCTGCCCAACCGAGTTGAATCCGTCGATTGACCTCTCGGTCGAAGTTGGACTTACCTAGTCGGACTATTTGTCCCAGGTAAACATACTCGTCAACAACTTCGAGCTTAGTGTTCCCAACAACTACCGGCATAGGTGTGACATGGACATTAAACATGATGTTTGTTTTGTCCATGTTCATCTTAAGACCTATCCGTTGGGAAACACTATTGAGGTCATTGAGCATAGTGCTTAGGTCCTCCAGCGATTCTGCCATAAGGACTATATCGTCGGCAAATCGAAGGTGAGTGATGTACTCGCCATTGATGTTGATACCGTATCCTTTCCAGCCCAGAAGCTTGAAAACGTCTTCCAATGCAGCGGTGAAGAGTTTCGGGGATATGACGTCACCCTGTCTTACACCTCTCTGCAATTGGATAGGTTTCGTGCTCTGGTTCTGTACTCGGATAGCCATCGTAGCCTTACTGTACAAACACTTCGATATACCGACAGTCAACTTGGCATCGCTGAAGGGACTGCAGCACCGCCCAAATTTCGACGGAATCAAAGGCTTTCTCATAGTCCACATACGCCAGACATAGTGGAAAATTGTACTCCTCGGACTTCTGTACAATTTGCCGAAGGGTATGTATGTGGTCTATGGTGCTAAAGCCTTTTCGGAAACCGGCTTGTTCGGGAGGCTGGAAGTCGTCAAGTCTGCGCGCGAGACGATTCGTAATGACTCTCGAAAACAGCACGTAGACGCGGCTCAGAAGGGAAATCGGTCTGTAGTTCTTCAAGAGAGCGTTGTCGCCTTTCTTGAAGAACAAGACCACCGCATTTCTGCTCCACGCCTCCGGTGTAATGCCACCATGGATGACGGAATTAAAGAGCTTCTGAAGGACTTCAAGTACCGGTTTTCCACCCGCTTTCAGAAGCTCCGCTGTAATTCCATCCTCGCCTGGAGCCTTGCCGTTTTTAAGGTGCTGGAGAGCCATCTAATCTCGCTCAGACTGACGTCCGGGATATCATCGGAATAATGTCGGATAAGACTCGCTCTTGGATCGTTACTCACACTTGCGTGCGGCTCCAACGATGACGTGTACAGCTGCCCATAGAACCTCTCAATCTCACTCAAAATCTCAGGTGCCCCGGAAATGATGCTGCCACATTCGGTCTTCAGCTTTGACAGTTGGCTCTTTCTGGCAGACAGATCTCTGGCAAAGACTTTGGAGCCTTGGTTCCGCTCGATCGCTTCTTCAATACGAGCTGTATTGAAGTTGCGTAAGTCCCGCCGCATGCATTTGGACATCTGTCTGTTCAGTTGCCTGTATGCTGTCAAATCTGTTGAAGAATGTAGCTTCATCTCCCGTCTAACAGCCATGAGATTAAGAGTGTGATCTTAGAGCTTTTGTGTTCTTCTGCGGCGGGTCTTGCAGAACTTAGCTCCGACCGCATGGACAGTTTCCACGAGCTTGTCATTCAAATCGTTCACTTCATTGCAGTCTTCTAGGTACTGAAAACGGTTTTGCAACTCGAGCTGAAAGATTTCGGGACTTTGGATTCGAGCACGAGGGGGACGGAGCGTTGACTTGATTAGACGAGACCTCTCCAACTTAACGTTTAGGTTCAGTGTGCCTCTAACCATTCGGTGATCGCTGCCGGTTTTCACCCTCGCGATCACTGAGACATCACTGAACAGTTGTCGTCTGGTCGTCATAATGAAGTCAATCTCATTTTTTGTCGAACCGTCGGGGCTCGACCAGGTCCACTTCCTGTGGGGCCGCTTCTGGAAGAAAGAGTTCATCATAAAGAGTCCCTCTTTCTCCTTGAAGTCGGCCAGCTGCTGGCCCCTTGGGTTCCGTTGCCCTATTCCAAATTTCCCCATTTTCAGCTCACCGTTCTCTCTTGTGCCTAGTTTTGCATTGAAGTCTCCCATTAACACCGTATATTGGGTTTTGGAGGAATGCATGGCTCTAGAGATATCCTCATACATTTCCTCCACCTCCTCATTGGGATGTGCCGAGGTTGGTGCGTAAACCTGTATGACCTTCAGCGAATACCGTTTGGTGATTCTGAGTATAAGGTACGCAACCCTCATCGACACACTCTCAATCTTTACAACGTTGTTAACGAGAGACTTGTGGACGATAAATCCGATACGTCCTTAGGACAGATGGTCGCCCTCCCGGTGATAGAGCAAGTTGTCGGATTCGAGGATTACCGTGTCCTCCCCCTCTCTTCGGACTTCGGATAATCCTATAATATGCCAGCGTAACTTGTCTATCTCTTCTTCCAGCTCCACAATCTTCTCGTCAGTCCTCAGGGTACGTGCGTTGTATGTTGCCAGGTCGAGTCGTCGTAGATGGCAACCGAACCTCCACCGGAGATTCTTAGCACCCCCTGCCCCGCCGTTACCATGGTCGCCACCGTAGCCAGGAATAGCGGGGCCGCCGGGGACTGGGGGCCGTCTCTTCGTAACTTTCATTATGGGGGGTATATTGCCATAGTTGCCACGCTTGGCGAGCGGGTTGGCAACCGCAGTTTTTTTTTTCATTGTATTTTTGCCGTTACCAGGAAGATGCTGCTGCCCATCTCCTGCCTGTTTCCCTTTGTCGCCTTTTACGACACCCACGGGAAGATATGGGGTAGTGGATATTCTTAACCGCCACTACACGGCACTAATTTTGCTTAAAATGGTTGAACTGCCGTCGTATTACTATCTAATGGCCGAATAGACCTACGAAGTACCATGTGTCCACCATACCAATACCGTATACCGTACCAACCATAAACCTTATTTTGTTCAAAATTAAGGTTCTTGATTGTTTTATATTTACAAATATTATTATTAGGT